CCTGCGTCTGGGCCAGCGGCCTCGGTGGCCTACGTCAGTGCGCGGCGGCCTCGCCTCCCAGCTCCTCGGTCCTTCGCTCCATCCCCCCTGCTGTGGGCTCCTGAGGATCCGGCCAGGGCAGCCCAGATAGAGGCCGCTTACGAGGCTGGCTCTTCTTTTCGCCTCAGAAGCATCCCGCTCCCACACACCCCAGCTCGCCGGTCTCCTGAAGGCTGGGCCAACCTCGGCTCTCCGCCAGCCTCTGCCCGGCTCTCTGAGCTCCAGCGATACTGTATCTAACCGCCAGCCCTCCTCCGCCGCTCGCCCCATCTGCGCACACTCGCAGGCACACTGTCCTTGGCCTTTGCCCGTGTTGTGCTCTCTCCGGGAACGCCGTAACTTCAGCTGGCCAGCTCCTTGTAGACCAAGGTCAGGGAGATCCCCTTGCCCCTCCTGAGCTTTCCTGGACCGCGGAGCTGTCCCAGGATGCTGTTACCATCTGACGGCCTCTGCCTTCCAGAGCAGAGGAGGAGGTGGGGAGGAGGACAGGGGCAGCCTCAGCCCCTCTCCCAGGGCTCCACCCACAGCGAATGTTGGGCATAGCAGGGACATCTCCCCTAAGTCAAAGCAACCCGCTGGTGTGGAGGGCGAGGCCATGGGAGGAGTTGGCCCTTCCTCTAGCACCCTGGGCTTGTGGGTGGTGGCTCCAATAGCTGGGATGGGCAAGGAGGAGGGACACATTCGAGGATGGAGTGGGGGGATTAGGATCCTTTCCTAGCAGGGCACTGTCACCCTCCTGGAGATCTGCGGGTCTGCAGAGACTGATGTTGCGGCGCACAGTGGAGGCTTGTGGCTTGTTGCAAGACGTTTGTTGTTGAGATATGTACCGGTTTGTAATGCTGAACATCTTGGCTCCGGAGTCTGGGGTAATTCTTACCTGGAGTTTTTTGCAGTAAGCCTCTCCCAAAGGATCACAGTGTGGACCCAATGCATAAGATGACTGGCATTCTCCTCCTTCACAAACCACCTATGACTCCCACTGCCCCCACGACCTCACCAGTTCCTCACGTCCTGGCTTCCCTGGCCCATCTCTCCCCTCTTCCTGCCACGATGTCTCCGCGACGCCTGCTGCCTCTGTGTTGTGTAGACATGTCTTCACACTTGGGTTTTTCCCCACATGCTTTTTTTTCACCCCCCTCTCTAAAACAATGCTCCCCTCCCTTGTGTATCTGGAGAACGATTCATGATAAAGTCCAGCTCTCAGGTTCCATCACTGTGATTTTCCCAGACTCTACTGGAAAGATTGTGTGGTTCTCTCATTGTGTTCTCAGAACTTTTCATACACGTCCAGTGTGATATTTGTTTGTATAGTTTTTCCTTAAGCAGATCTTGCCTACTAGAGACTGGGGACACGGGACACGGGACACAGTGAGGTCGCCTGAGAGATGGTCCCACTTTGGTCGGGGCTCTGTTTTCCTAGGGAGGTGACCACACAGACACTGCCCGTGCTGTCAGAGAGCCATGTGCAGGGAGAGAGGGGGACAGGCCCCTGCCTTGGCCCAGCCAGGAAGGCTGCCTGAGGAAGTGGCAGGACCGTGGCCCCACTCTCTTGGTGTGTAATGGTGGACTGGGCTGTGGGACAAGTGACAGAGGGAACAATTTCTAGTCCATAAGGCAGCAGCGGCTGCCACTGCAGGCTGTGGCTCTCTGTTTAACTCCTCGAGGGTGGGACCTTGCATCTCTTCAGGCTCTGAGCCAGACTGCCAGGGTTCCCATTCAGGCCCTGCCTCACTTAGCTGGGATTGGGCAAGTGCCTCCCTGCTGGGCTTTCTAACTAAATGGGGGCTTCCCTTGGGGAGTCTGAGGATGACTGCGGTTTGTCCCAGTTCTCCTGGGTCACTCCTCTCCCCATAATGGCAATGGGATCAACCTGCAGGGCTTCTGAAGTTGGACTCGCCTGTACTTTATCCCTTATCCTTGTGTGATCTTGGGTAAGAGGATTAGCCTCTCTGAGCCTCCGTTTCCTGTATAAAAGGGGGCAGTGGTATCTCTTTGGCTAGGTTGATGTGGGGATCAGAGGTGTGGTCCCTGAGCAAAGGTAGCAGCTTTATGAGGGATGATGATGGTGAAGAAGCTATGAGAATATTTATTCATTTAGCCTTGTCACAGAGCAAACTCCCATACCCACATCTGGGGTCCTTCTTTAGCTAACAATGAAACTAATGATCAGAGCAGTGACCACCGTTGTGGTGGGCTGAGCGGTATGAGGGACCAGGCTAGGTCAGTGGAACTGTGTTGAGGACCAGCTCCCACCCTACTGACAGTGTGACATCGGGCAAGTCACTTAGCCCCTGTACTCACTTTCTTTGTCTGGATAAGGGGAATGAGGGCCACATAAGGAAATATCGTCACTTAACCTCCTGCTTCTGCCTTGGGTTATCTCATCTTTGCTGCATAGCACCACACAGGGTGAGGTCTACGTGAACACCAGAGAGGGAGCCGAGTCTCAGGACACCAGGGGACTCAGCAGTGGGGCTCCCTGACTCCAGGCCTCAGATGTTGCCCCATGGAGCACACTGACCCCTGTAATGGAAAACGACCTTCCAACAGGGATGGCATGAGAAATAGATCAGAAAGACCCCTTTTTGGGTTTTTTTTTTTTTTTTTTTTTTTTTTTTTTTTTTTTTTTTTGACAGTTTCTTTCTTGTTGCCCAGGCTGGAGTGCAGTAGCACAATCTCGGCTCACTGCAACATCCGCCTCGTGGGTTTAAGCAATTCTCCTGCCTCAGCCTCCCAAGTAGTTGGGATTACAGGCACCTGCCACCAGGCCCTGCTAATTTTTTTGTATTTTTAGTAGAGATGGGGTTTCACCATGTTAAGCAGGCTGGTCTCAAATTCCTGACCTCACCTCAGGTGATTTGTCCACCTCAGCCTCCCAAAGTGCTGGGATTACGGGCATGAGCTACCGCCCCTGGCCCCTTCTTGGTGCTTTTAATGGAAGCACATCACCGTCATGTCCATAGTGGCCATTGGTGTTGCTGTAAACGGAGACTCAGACAGTGACCCAGGGCTGGCCACTGGTGGGACCACAGCATCCTGACTCTAGCCCTGGATGCCTTCAGAAAGTGTTTTCTTTGCTCATGCTTTTCTGAGGCCAGGTGGACAGTACAGGGGTCATGGATCAGCAGGGAGGGGCAGGGACAGGGGAGGAGCTCTGGGGGTCTCATGCTGTGAACGGCTGGGTTAGGAACCCCTCCTGTAGGACGTGAGACGCAGGCATGCTTGCAGGGAGTGGCCACAGAGGTCATTATTAGGTCGATGCAAAAATAATCGTGGTTTTTGCCATTACTTTTGCACCACCCCCATACTGGAGAGTAGAGGAGAAAGGGCCCGTGGTGAAAGCACCTAGGGGCAGCTCAGAGTGTGGGAGGGGCAGCTCAGAGTGTGGGAGGGGCAGCTCAGAGTGTGGGGCGGGCAGCTCCCCAGTGGGGCCGGGGGCTCCCTCCTGCCTTTGATGTTAGTGTCGGTTTTCAGAACTGCAACGAGAAGTATTATACCTTTCATAAGTCTGCAGAGGTGAATTGACAGAAATACTGTTTTTCTTCATTATACCAGTTAACATGTGTGAATGGCACTTAGCAAGTGCCAGGATCTATGCCAGGGGCTTTTGTAAATAAAGTTTTATTAGAACACAGCCACGCCCATTTGTGTATGTATGGTCTGTGGCTGCATTTGTGCCAGACTGGCAGAAGTGAGCAGCTGGGGGAGACATCTGTGAAGCCAAAGACATTTACTCCCTGGCTTTTTCCAGGAGGAGTTTGCCTCCCACTGGTCTGTGCTGTCCCTGGTCTGACTGAACCCATTCAGTCCCAGAGGGAGGCACGCACCTGCATTTCTATTTTATAGATGGGCACAGAGGGGCTCCGAAGCTCGCCAGGGATTATAAAGCGAGTATGTTCCAGAGCAGGGATCTGAAGCCAAGAAACCCATGTTCTTTTTTGAGGGGAGGAGACAGGGGCAGGGAGATTTATATTTTTATTAGCTTCTAATTTAATTTTACCATATTTGGAGAATGTGGTATGCGTGGTATCTATTTTCAAAAATTTGTTAACAATTCCTTGATGGGCTAGCACCCGATCATTTAAAAAAATATTTTTATCATGGTTAATATACTAAATATATCAAAGTATTTAATCATGGCTGATATATTAACCATTTCTAAGTGTGCAATTCAGTGGCATGAAGCACATCCAGACTGTTGAGCAACCAGTGCTACCATCCACCTCTGGAACTCTCTATCCTCCTCGCCTGCAGCCCACGTTCTTCACTGATGCCCTGTGCTGTCTTGTGGGAGTTTTGTGGAATAAAGCAAATGTTAGTGGCATCGTAATTTAGCATAGAAGGCTTTGACATCAGACTTGGGTTTGAGCACCGGCTCTGCCATTTACCAGCTAATCTTGTGCTATTGTCTGCAGCCCCCTGAACCCTCTGCAACTCAGGTTCCTCATTTGGGAAATGGGGATCACCCCAGTCTGGTCCCTGCACATCCCTCGGTTGTGAGGATGAGACTAAGGAACGGAGGTGAAAGGCCTCGTCTAGCATCACGCAGTGGACAGCAGCTGCAGTGGCTGCTCCCTTTGTTGGGCACCACCACCCTCTTGTGTTAGGTCAGCCCGTTCCCCTCTGTGTGGTCTGAGGTGGCCCCTTTATCTTTTCCAGGGCCCGCAAGCATCCTCAGGACCCACTGCATATCCTAGAACTCCCAGTTGGCCTGGGAGGACCTGGGTACAGCCTGCCTGCTGTCCTGTCTCCCATGGGAGGACCCGGGTACAGGCTGCTGCTGTCCTGTCTCCCACCGTGGCTGAGACTGGCTGAAGGGCCACTTTAAGGAATGAAAGGCGTTCTGTGTGCACCAGCCAGGGACTGCCAGCGGGTGCTCATTGTGGCAGAAATACCCTTATGCCTGCCAGGTCAGAGGGAGGCGCTGGCTCGGTGTGCTGGCCTCTGAGCTTCTCCCTTGGCTGCGTTTTGAGTCAGGAGCCTGGACTGGCCCTGGGTCCCTCCTCAGTGCTGGAGGGGGTGGGACGCATCACTACGGGGTGGGTGTCCTTCCGGTGAGGACTGTGAGGGGTTGACAGTGGAGGCAAGGAGTGAGCTGGTAAGTAGCTTTCTGCTTCTTTTACCCTTGGGGCTTCTGTCTCCTGTCTTCTCCCACTCTATCCTGTTGCATCTGGTGACTGGTCGCCCCTCTCTGCTTGTTCTGACATGGGAATGTATTGGATGAGATCATAACCTGTGCTTTCCATTAAAGCAGTTCTTTTCCCCCTTCTTTTTCTTAAAAAAAATTGAGGTGAAATTCAATCACTCTAAATTAACCGTCTTCAATTATACAATTCAGTAGCATTTACTACATTCACAATGTTGTGCAACTATCACCTTGATCTAGTTGCAAAACAATTTCCTCACTCCCGAACAAAACCCTGTGTCCATGAGCAGTCACTCCTCACTTCCCCTCTCCCAGCCCCGGCACTCATCCATCTGCCCTCTGTCTCCTTGGATTTGCCTGTTCTGGATATTTCGTAGGTGTAGATCGTATGTGGCTTTTTGTGGCTGACTTCTTTCTCTTAGTCTGATATTTTCAAGGTTCACCCGTGTTGTAGCGAGTGTCGGTGCTTCCTTCCTCTTTATGGCTGAGTAGTATTCCATGGTGTGAATATAACACAGTTGTCCCCTTCATCTGTGGACGGGCATTGGGGTTCTCACCTTTGTGGCTGGTGTTGGAAGCAGTGCTCAGGGTGCCAACATTTTCTTCCCAGGGCTGTGGCTGCCCGGGTCCTGTTCTGTAGGCTTTCCCACCCTCTCCTCCCCTGCTCATTAATGCATCAGTTCAGTCCCTTGTGATGAGCACTGTACTGAGGGCTCCCAGCCTTGACTTGTCCTTGAAACCTGCAGAATGGTTTGTTGGCTCCTCATTTTCCAAGCAAGAGCGTGGGAGCGCCCCGAGGCAGGAGGGACCATGTAGGAGCCAACGGAGTGAGTGCCCCAGAGAGGCAGCTGGCACAGCGCAGGGAGCCCTGGCCGCCTTTCTTTTGGTTGCTGGAACATGCTGGATTCTTCCTGCTCAGAGCACTTGTGTGAGCTGCTTGCTGCCTGGAATGTTCATCCCTGCCCTGGCCCAGACTGGCTTCTTTTCATCCCTCATGTCTGTATTAGTCAGGGTTCTCTAGAGGGACAGAACTAATCGGATATATGTGTATATGCAAGGGATTTTATTAAGGAGAATTGACTTACCAATCACAAAGTAAAGTCCCAAAATAGGTCGTCTGCAAGTTGAGAAGCAAGGAAACCAGTGGCGGATCAGTCTGGGTCTCAAAACCTCAAAAGTACGGAGGCCAACAGCACAGCCTTCAGCCTGTGGCCAAAGGCCCGAGAGCCCTGGCAAACCACTGGTGTAGGTCCAAGAGTCCAGAAGCTGAACAACTTGGAGTCTGATGTCCGAGGGCAGGAAGCATCCAGCACAGGAGAAAGATGGGGCCGGAAGACTCAGCAAGTCCGCTCTTCCATCTTCTCCTGCCTGCTTTATTCTAGCCATGCTGGCAGTTGGTTAGATGGTGCCCACCCACACTGAGGGTGGTCTGCCTTTCCCAGCCCACTGACTCAAATGTTAATCTCTTTTGGGAACACCCTCCCAGACATACCCAGGAACAATACTTTGCATCTTTCACCAATCAAGTTGACACTCAATATTAACCACCACAATGTCTCAGCCTAAATTTCTACTCCTTGGGGAGGTTTTTGACTGTCCCAGATAGTGGCTGTGCCCCTGGTCCCCATCAGTACCCTGTTTACTTTTGAGAATCATCATGATCGGAAATGGTTTTATTGTCATTTCCCCTCCCCAGAAGCTAGAATCAAGCACTATGAGGGCAGGAACCCTGCCTGTGGGGTTTCCCCTCCTCTGTCAGCCTTGGACATTGGCACAGAGCAGGTGTTCACTCAGTAATCACTGCTACTGACTTAATTTCTGAACTCCACCCTGCTAGCTCTGTGATCGAGTGCTTGCTCCTTCATCTTTCTGAGCTTCACTTCCTTCTTTTGTGAAATAAAGAGCATGTTCCTATCTCTTGGGGTTGGTTTTGGATGTAGACCAAAACCAAAACAGGCTCAGTGGCGTCTGCGCGCAGTAGGTGTTTGTCAGCCGGCGCTGCTGCTGGTATTACTTGTGGAAGTCATGGTCATTGTGATTGTCAACGAGTTTTCTAATGCCAGGTGACTCTTACGCTTGCTCTGAGGCCACCAGGGGACCTCCTGGAGCTGAGCTGTCCTATTCCAGTAGCCACTCGCCGGTAGGGGCTGTTGAGCACTGCAGTGTGGTTCCTGTGGACTGAGATGGACTGTGAGTGAAAAATATACCCTGGCCAGGTGCGGTGGCTCACACCTATAATCCCAGCACTTTGGGAGGCCGAGGCAGGCAAATCACCTGAGGTCAGGAGTTCGAGACCAGCCTGGCCAACATGGCAAAACCCTGTCTCTACCAAAAATACAAAAATTAGCTGGGTGTGGTGGCAGACACCTGTAATCCCAACTACTCGGGAGGCTGAGGCAGGAGAATAGCTCAAACCCGGGAGGCGGAGGTTGTAGTGAGCCAAGATCGCACCATTGCACTCCAGTCTGGGTGACAAGAGTGAAACTCCGTCTCAAAATAAATAACTAAATAATAAATAAATAAAATGCACTCCTGGGCTTGAAGATGTATGAAAAAAACAGAATATAAAATATCTTAGTAATAATTTTCACATGAATTTAACTTCAAAATGATGCTATTTTGTGTATATTGGGCTAAATGAAATATATTATTAATTTCATCTTCTTTTTACTTTTTAAAATGTGGCTACTAAAACTGTGAAATTACATGTGGCATGCATGTTGTATTCCACTGGGCCTTGCTGCTGTAGCTGTAAGCTCCAGAGGGCAGGGTCCAGGCTCAGGCCTATGGGGCTCAACCTCCTGCTCTGCCTTCTGTGAGGTCTGTGACCTCAGGCAAGTTAATGAAATGGTTTTTGTGCTTCAGTTTCCTCCTCTATAAATAAGAAGCTCAGCTGGATGACAAACAATGACAATGCACCTTTGAGGGCCACCTTGTGCCCTGCTAGGATCTGGGGCCCCATTAGGACAAGGGGTGGCAAGGTCTCTGCCCACAGCAGCTTACGTTCTGGGGGAGGGGGACCCATAGCCTCCACAGTTGAAATACAGAGGCTGACCCAGCCACTAAGGCCCGTGACGAGTTCTCTGAGGGCCTCAGGAGGGAGATGCAGGGGATAGTCACACGGGTGTTGGGAGCTGCATCTCTGGCTGTGAGCCCTCGGGAAGGCCTGGTGAGGAGCACAGGGGTAGAGCTGTCTGGAGTTTGGAGCCTGACGCACACTGGGCTGTCACTCACTGGCAGTCAAGCCCATGACTTTAGCGTGGCCCAAGAGTGTCGGGCCACTCCATTGCTTCTTGGCCACTCAGTGGCTCTAGCCTGTGTAAGCCTTTTGCAATATTCATTGCACCAGGATTTAAGAGTTTGCAACCTCATGTTCATTTTCTGCAGTCCCTGCATCCCCTAGTGTGGGCGAAGCTCCTGTTTGTCCCCATCCTGGAATTGCCCCACACCAGCTCTGATGGCTGAGAGTGGCTGATTCTCAGGATGTGATGCAGGCTGCCTGCTGTCTTGTTTGATGAACCCCCTCTGCTCTGGACCCCATCTCCACTGCTTTCTGTCAGGCCCAGGAGGGGACTGTGAGCTGAGTTCCCAACTCAGCCAGGAACCACGAGGGAGACATGTCACATCACCCTGGGAGCTCCGGCATTCTGGGGTATCACCCCATCCCTGTCACTGGGTGTGTGTGCTTGCTCCATGTGGAGAGATGCCTGGGGGCAACTTTGTCCTGAGATTTGTAGGGGTCAGCTAACACTGTCATCCTCACTTTCCTTGTGCACACCTGCCCTCAGGTGCCTGGCATTATGCTGCCTGCTGGGGTTGGGGGTGGGAGGCGGGGTGTGCCCACAAGTCAGCAGGAAGAGCCCCAGGTGATTATCGAGGATGGCAGTGGACCTTCCTCCCAGCCCTCTCCTTGGACCTCCACCACCTCATTGCTGGAGAACGAGTGACTTATCTGAGCTTGCACAGGTGGAAATGGCAGTGGTGGGTTCAACCTAGTTCTGGCTACTCCTAACGGTGCTGTTCACTTATGGAAAGAGTGTAGGATGAGCAAGTCTACAGAGGAAAAGTGCAACATGGGAACTTTGTTAATACAATTGCATTTATTGGGGATTTTTATTGAGTAAGTAGATTTCAGCTGCTCTTGCAACGAAAAATGTGTAACTATGTTAGATAGAGATATGTTAATCTGCTTCACTATAGTAACCATCTTAGGATCTATATGCAGCCTGTAGCATCATGTTGTAAATTTAGCCTGGCATTGCAGCCCCCCATGGTCTGCTCCCAGTTCAGCTCCCGCCATTTCCCCCATGAACCACAGCCCTCTCCTGAGCACTGCTCCTCGGGTGCCACTTCCTCCACCCTTCTTGGGCCCCAGGAGTAGGGAGAGACCCACTTACTTACTCTACAAATGAGGATTGAGTGAATGAAGTCATTGGGGCTGGATTCAGACAGGCCCAGGGGCAGGGGAATGGACTAATGGGGCTTCCTTCTCTCCTCTGAGTTTGCCAGTGTGGCATGACCCACCCTGCCTCCCTCTCCTGCCATGCCTGCAGCAGAGCCCGTGTCCAGCTACACAGTCCCCCGGCTGCTCTCGACTGAGCCGGGCCTTTGCACATGCTGTTCCCTTTGATGGATCTGCCTGTTCACCTCCCCCAGCCCCATCCACTTGTGCTTAAGATCCATCATGCGCCTTCCTCCAGGAAACTCCATCCCCAGACTGGGCCAGGTATAACCCCAGGGCCCTCACTGCCCCACGCCACCCTCTGCCCTGGCCACAGTGTGTTGCAGCTGCCAGTGACTTGTCTGATTCCTCCGCTAGACAGAGGGCTCTATGAGGGTAGGAATGCTTTCTGATTCACACTGGAACTCCCAGAGCCTGGCCAGGGCAAGGTGCACAGTAGGTGGTTAATAGATTTTTGGCTTTTAGTTTCAGATTCCCATAATGTCAGTGT